GAAACATTAGTGTAGAGAACAGAACAGAGGTGCCGCACCTGTGTTTTTACCTGTCTGTAAACTGTCAAATACTTTAGAAAGTAACATTTCAACACACAGTTTAACTACGTTTGTCAGGCGTAACTCTTACTTTAAAACATTCAATTTAATTCATTAAACAAATGGGAGTACATGTGTGCTCTTGCCTGTATATTAAAGAAAATCAGCCTTAATAAATAGCCAATCAACAGTATATTACATCAATGTTATAAATAATGATTTCCCATTGTCATTGTTATAATAAGATGTGCTAATTGTTTTAAACCTGAAATAAGTTGTTGTTGTTGAATTACCATAAACACCCTGTGATCACATAGTCTTCATTACAGACCATCCTAACTATAGACCACAGCATGTTTTATACATCTATTAACAAGCAATCGAAACAAAGAGGACAGATAATAGGTGCACCTATTGGTTACTGATAGCCAAACTGCTAGCACCTAGCATGTCACCAGGAAGAGTCAGACATTCAAGTGTAGATCCAATCAGATGACAAAACCCATGTGACTTTGATGTTGAGTCATCAGGGTCCTGCTGGGTTTGAACTCCCAACCTCCTTTTGATGACACTGCAATAGGCGTGCGTTTAGTGACGTCTTATGTGGGCGTGTGTGTGTACGTACAAGATGTGTGGTTCTTGTGAGCATGATGGTTGTATAATAGCCAAAGGCATTGGTTACATAAGCGTCCCCCGACTCACCCAAGCGTCGGTGGACTGTCTGTCTGTGGAAGAGCAGCTCTGTCTGGGTTGTTTTGCTCTGTGTGTGTGTGTGTGTGTGTGTGTGACAGAGAGCCATGTTGGTTTTTAAATGTACACCGAGGCGTCTACATTTCCTACAAATAAAAGAAGTTGAAAAGTGTGTCATGCACGTTGACTTGTTCAAATGGATTAAAGGCCAGTGTGACATTTCCACACAAACGACTGCTGAATGTGACGCTGTTGGATTCTCAGGGTCAAATCGATTGGTCAGGCATGTCTCACAGTTTAAAACTCAACTAAGTGTGTTATTCACATCTCTGCTTCATGAGCGGAGTACGGTAATTGTAGAATTTCAGTAACAAGTTGAAGAGCTGCTGCTTCACTTGGTCACAAACCAAGGTGAAGTCATACCGAAGAATTATCATACCATCTGAGGGTGGGCATAAGGAACATATTTCATTAAAAAAACCCAAGAGTGTCTCATGGTATAGAACCCTTTGGGACTGGTTGTATAACAGTGACATAATAGTAAGTCCTTTCATGCTTTTGTGCTCATGTGACAGAGGTTGTTATAAAAACTCTCCTCTGACTGCAAATTCAATAGTTAGTCATTGTGTCGTTTTTTTTTATGAACAACAAAAATTACCTAACCTTTACCCCCTCCCATCCCCCCACCCCCTCCGTTTACTCCAGGGCTGACTTCTTGCAGTCAAACCTTTTGATGATTTCACTGAAATTTGATAGTGTCCGAGGACCAAAGCAGATTTTCTTTTTTCTAAAGAGAGATTCTGAGTGAAAAGATTCTTTTAATGCAATTCCTTGAAAGGAGCATCTTTGTATCATTGTAGTTTAATCCAGTGAGTTCAGAGAAACCACTGACAGATGTGAGGGGACGGAGGGAGAATTCTGTCAACGTCACATTGGAGTAAACGTCTGCGTCATCTGTAATCTGCTCACGGAGACGGAGAGGAGGACAGGAGGACAGGACAACGTGACACACTGACATTCTGTGTGTGTGTGTGTGTTTAGTGTGAGTATGGAAAACACAGCAGAAGAAGAGCTGGCATGAAATCAAGAGAGTGTTCGAGTGAAGCTGTTAAAACACACACGGTGTCCCAGCCCGGTCTGTGGTGATCATTAAGCTGCACATTATGTTTCATTAAAACCAGTGTTTTTGAATGCTAAAAGTCAAAGTGCATAAATGTTTCATTGGAAACGGCATGAATTTATAGCAACTGTAGTACATGTCACATTTAACATGGACACATTATATAATCTGCTTGTTTCCCAAATTCTAGTCTTTTCAACCTTCCTCTTTCCTTATTGTCCAGGATTTGAGTCCCTGCTGTTGCTTTATATTTTTTGTCCCTCAGATGTGATGAGTCTTTGTTGACTTTTCTATCCTGAATGTTTTACAATTTTAATTGAAAAAAACAGCTAGAATATTCCAGATTATTCTCATCTTTTGTTCCTAAAAATGTTATCCAGCAAAATGCACTCAAAGATCTGCCTTCTTCTTCTTTGGTCCGTAGCTGAGGAAGACGTTAACTGTTAATTTAAAGAACTCCATCTTCACTGTGACATTTACGTATCTGTTCTCCAGGGGAAAGGTGTTGAATGGTACAGCTGTTTTATTACCACTTGTCAAAATGTAATTTTGTTTCTCAGGGCCAGTCATGCATTTACATAAAAATGAATAATAGACATCTGTCAGACCAGAGGAGAGCTGGGGCCGTTCATACATTCTTTCGTGGTTGTAATCTGACGTCCTCACATTGAATATATTGATGATGCAAATCCAAAATGTCTGTTACATAAAATTGTTCCATAACAATGGTTCTAAAAATGGGGGGTGCACTTTGTAGGGGGAGCATAAAGTGCAAACAACAATTTATATATATAATTTATATATATAATATATCACGACACCTGGGTTGCATCCACTCCTTCATCAGCAGCACAGCTTGATTTGGTTGCATAGCGACCGCTGCTTTTTCATCTTTTTTTTTCACCTTAAGATGAATCACACCCACTGCACTTGTACCCGTGGGATGTTTTTTAATAGAGTAGACCAGACGACAGAAGCTAAATTAAGACATCACTCTAAAACAAGATTCAGTGGGAGTGTAAGCTTCTGCCTCTTGACTCTTTAGCAACCTCTGGTTTCAAACTTGTATCTCAGTTTCAAGTAGAAAAACATCAGTAACACATTACTGCTATTGTGGCGTTTGGCTGACAGAGGCACCAGAAACAAGAGCGATACAACATAGCCATAGCTTAGTCTTTTATCTTTTCCTTGTTTTATTTTATTGGCTATTTTTAAAATTATTTTTGAATATTTCTGCTGTACTCGGAACTTCTGAACCAATAGCAAACAAGCAGTGTTGTCAGCTCTCTGGTTAGTGAAGAAATTGAGCTAAAGTGAGATTTTTGAGGTAGTTGTATTTTGGAGAATTCCTCACCAAATCATATAATGTTTAACTAAAAATGCATACTAAATGTATGGGTGGCTCAGATTCTTTTCAGTTCCATCAAAAGCACAAAAAATAGTCCTACAGGTAATGCATAAGAGTAGCCTATAATATAATGATAAAAACAACACGTTTTGTTCTGACCAGGATTTTAATGTATTGTTTCTGGGAGTGTTTGTCTGTTTAGCCTCAGGTTCATCAGTTAGACTAGTTGTGTTTAAACTGTCTCTATTTTTGCCTGATCTCTGAGAGCAAATGGACTGTGTTATATTTCTGTTTGTGTTGGTTATGGACATTTGTTGTGTGTTTGTGTCTCCATTTCAGTTTCAGTGACTCTGTGTCAGTGTTTGTGTTTTTTTTTTTTTTTTTTTTTTTTGTCCTGTCTCGTGTTTCGTAAGCTGTCCATATTTATGAACCAGCTCTTATGTAAGCCTCCGATCTAGTTCAGTGTGTCTTTGACAGAAGAACTGAGAAAGGGAGGTGGAGGAGGAGATGGGGAGGTGACAGGCAAAGCCAGGGCAGAACGAGGACGGTCAAGAGCTACAGTGAAAAAGAGCCTTAAAACGTGGCGAAAAAGACAAAAATAAACAACACTGAGTCAAACATGTAGTTGTAGTCTTTTATGAGCCCATAGTTGTCATTAGCAGTGTGTCCTTGGTTATAAGTACAGTTGAAAACGGTGACTCTTTACGAGCTGCTGCTGACAACAACCACTGAACAAAGTCAAACTAGTTTAGTGCAGTTTTTCATTTTGAATAACCAGCTTAATGAAGGGAGTGTCAACACGTTATAATCAAGTCCACATGAGAATGCTCTCAAGTGTCACGAATGACACAAACCCCATTCCACAAAGTTGCTTCCAGAACACACACCAAAAACGGATCATTTGATAACACACTTAATCCTTTAATCATTGGACAAATATTTAAAGTTTCTCCTCAGTATAATTAGGTGAGAAAGAGGTTGAACTTGCTTGAAATGTCAGAGCTTTGGTAGGTGCTCTTCATAAAACCAGTCTTTATAATTAATCATTGGACAAATATTTAAAGTTTATACATAAAACCAGTCTTTATACCTAGATGTGTTCTCATTTGACCTGGGAGTAAAATGAAATCAAAATATCATTTATGGTTTTCTAACAATAAGTGAGAACAGTGTGGCCACACAGTGGCAAATGTTGGCTGGGTGGATGGATAGATCTAAAAAAAAAAACTCAAAAATGATGACATTATGTAAACCTAAGAGGATGCTGATCCAGACAAACTGGCTCTTTGATTGTCTGAAAGGATTTGCATATTTGACTTTGTTCATATCACCTTATGGTTATATAATTAGGCTTTGATTTCCCATAAGAGGAAACAATTACGAGTTGTAATTGTTAGGTGTGAAACAGACATAATGTCAAAAGGTCCTGTCGAATCAGTACACACTGTGCAAACTGTGTTCTGGCCTCCTCAGCTGTAGAGAGAGGGAGTTTTCTGCCTGACTTTGTTGTAGTGTTCTTTTTTTTAATAGTATCTATTTTGAGGACATTACAGTGTCTGCACAAGATTAGTGTAATTTTGCTTTGAAAAGTCAGTCAAAGGTGGATTTTTTAAAATTCCTCTTTATCTGAGTGAATTTCTGCAATTCTTTCATTGAGGTTTGTGTTTCTGCTTTGTTAAAGGTTTGAGGTCAGAATTATTTTAATGCCCTAAATTTTAAAAGATTATAAACATAATAGAATAGTTTAAAACATGTTAGTACAATCATCTGTTCTTTATATAAACTTTTCTCCTTCATTCACAGACCAGCCCCACAGCGCCCCCTTCAGCTCTGAGAATGAGGCTCAGGGAGGCAACCCCACTGTGTGGCAGTGCACTCCTCCCCCATCTACCTCACCCTCGGGGGATGCAGCGGCTCATCCTGTCCCTTACCAGCCAGCGTCCAGACCTCGGTCCAGGTCGACCAGCCAAAGTCCCTCCCCGCCCTCCGCCCTGACGGGAACTAAGAAGAGAAGCTCCAAACCGTCACACATGAGACGTAATATCAGGTACTGCCCTCAGCATCCAGGCCGGAGCTGGAATTTGTTGTTTTTACTTTTCATTCCATACAATAACATGTTATTTACAGTGAACAAGAATATACACAATTCCTTCCATTGACCTTAGTTAAATAGTCTGCAGTTATTCTTTGTATCTATTCATGTGTAAATATATGTATAAAATGCTAATCAATGCTGTTGGCGCTGTGTTTGGACTGGAGTGTCTGACCAGTCAGAGTCAGCTGGTCCTCCTGAAGTCCTTTGACAGTTTGTAAAACCAAATGGATTCTTTCTGTAGGAAAATACTGAGAGAGCATCAGCTTGAGGCTGTGACCAAAGCCGTCCAGCAGGAGGAGCTGGAAAGGAGGCGTCGTCTGGACCAGCAGAGAAAACAAGACTCCCCTCTACCTGAATACACAACTGGTGAGAATATTTACCCTGAATCTGTAAACATTTCAAGTCCATTCCTATATTTCGGACAGTGTGTAACAGAACCCAAGCAGATCGAAGAGTTCTGTGTGAATTTTCTAACCCATCAGACTTAACGCCTGTTTACACTTTCCCAGTTGACCCCAAGGCCTCACCCAACAGGGTGGACCTGAAGTAGCTTTATTCTTTCACACCCAGAGTATGAAACCAGTCCTACAGTATAATCTCGTAGCAAGAGATCAAGCGAACATCCAAACCTCTGTATTCTGCATCAGACCGTTGAAGTTTAATTGAACAAAAAGCCAGGTTGTTAACATGTATCAGTTTCATGCTCCAGGTGAATGTTTATTCACAGCAGGTATTCACTGCAGCCTTGTTGTTGTTGTTGTTTTTCTCCAGGCGATGTGGCCAAGCATGTGTCTTCATCCACAGCACAAACAGCATCACAGCAAGAGCTGAAGTCGAGCCGACAGGAAGTGATACACCTGCACTTGAGTTCCACTGGTGTCGAGAAGAAGGACAGCAGGACAAATGTAGACTCCTCCGTCACCACAAATCACAGACCTAAATCAGGTAGACAACACAGACAGATGCTTTTTTGGCTTTTGTTGTAATATTATGTTTGTATTTTTAATAAAAATCTAAATATGCTGTAAATATTTAGTTGATTTACTAATAACTGATACATTGCAGAGAGTTTAAGAATGGTCTAGGGTTCGACTCCTGGGTATTGGAAAGGAAGTGTGAATATTTAAATGTTTATGGTTTAATTACAATAATGTTCAACATCATTGACAAATATAATGCTTCAATTTTATAAAAAAAAAAAAATATATATATATATATACCAGAGCAGTCTTGTTAGTATATGAGGACAGGTTGGCTGGCCTTACTTGTTCCCCAGACGGCCCTTTGACCATCTTTGATTGTAAACATGGGTAAGTAGAGATTGCCAGGCTTGGTCATGAAAGGAGATAGGGAGTGAAGTGTGTGAAGTGGATTCATTAATCATCCTCCGGTGACATATTCTCACATGTCTGCATAGCTGGACAAATTCTTCAGTAATGTTACAAGCGCGTACCAGCACACAGTGATCTTTCTAAGTAATGTGAAGAGTAATTTGGCTTCAGAACTGATCTCGGGTTCAGTTTTATAGGTCGGTTAGGGTCACCCAGTGCATGTTGGTAGTCTGACTTCAATAGAACCACCAATCTCTTGAAGTTAAAAAAGCAGCGGGATCCAGCAAATTGATTGACCTTTTTAAAATAGCATGCATTACAATAAAAAAAAATAATTTTTAGCACAAAATACAGTAATCCTGACTAACTACTTGCAGTTGTGTGTGGAGTATAGTTTAGATTTTAGTTGTGCAACTACAGGCCAACAGGTCAAGCCACTGTTTCAATACAGGCTTTACTTCATTACTGAACTACATCTGGATTTCACTGAGGACATTATCTATCAAAGGCATATGTCACCGACATCAGTTCCAGTAGCTCTTTTGGAAAATTCACTTCAAATCTCTTTGAGCTTAAGCAAAGCCAAACACTGTTTCCAGTTAATGTTTTTTTAGCCCACAGGTCTGAAAACGTTCTGATGAAATAAGGCAATAGTTAAACAACACAAATGAGGTCTGTCCTGGTGTTTCCTGGGTATTTCTATGATACTAGCACGGCTGAAGGTCATAAACCCTAATCATTACATGAAACCTGCCCTTGTTGCTCGTTTCTGTCCCCTTGTTGTACTGTTTCATTAATGTGCAGCGTGTATAGATTTCTTTAAAGCTGAAGAACACCATTTTTGATGTAAACATTTTTTATTATGTTAAAATTGATCTCTCAGTGCCAGAGGGAAACAACAAAAATGTGAATGTCCTTTATACTGATCCACCTTTAAAGATTTCACGGTGTAACTATTCTGCTGATCCAAGACTGTGATTTCCCCAGAAAACTAATGATTTAGAGACACAAAACACGGTAGCCTTTTTTTATTTTCTGATTCTGATTCAACTAGTCACATTTCAACTTGAGTAAAATTAAATGTCATTAAAAAAATAGTTGTGAATTTATTTTATGACACTGGAGAGGAACCGGAGCTTCCCTTGTTTTTTATGGCAACCACCACTGTTCTCAGATGACCTGAGTCACAGATGGTGATTGTAAAGCATTAAAGTCGTCCACTTTAAGCACCCGTGAGAGCATAAAGGAGGAACGTGCAATAAAGAAAATGCTCATTAAGTCATAAAATGTTGAATCAAAGAGGAAAGACTTAAGTCTTAAGATGTGAGGAGAATAAAACTGATGGAGACAGAGAGCTGTTAATCATTCACAATGGTTTTGTGACACTTTTTGTTGACAACAAAAACAACCTGCCTATACACTGCAGTTTTGACATTTACTATCACTATACCAAAACCTTATTAAGTATATTTAAGTACTTTATTTTTCAATTTTTGTACTGCTTTGTGTGACTCATTATAACAACACAGAGTAACTCTCCTCTCCCTCTTCTCCACATCTTTGCAGACGTGATTGATTTGAGCTCAGGTGAGGACGACTCCATTGTACACATCAGCAGCGAGTCAGCCGTCGAGGATGAAGACAGCGAACCAAGTGGCATTCATGCCAACGACGCCCACAACAGAGCAGACCAACAGGGCAGAGTCTTGGTCAACTTAAATCATCCACTGACAGAACCTGACATTTTCCTCTCACCTCAGCTGGCACGGGCTGTCAAACCTCACCAGGTATACTGACTGGTGCACTCAGGGACATCAGCATCAACATCCAGTCTGTCACCTCTGTCTCCTCTTTTTGCCCATCCATCTTTTAAAACCAGGGAATGAATGAGGATGTAACTTTTTTGTATGAAAAAATTTAGCCTAATCTTGACATTAATGTCAGAACTCTCGGTCTCGTAGTTCTCATAACTCTGATGATGTGCTGTATTAAAACCTGCCGTCCTCCATGTCTGGATCTTTCTCCAGCCACAGACTCCCTGTCAGATGTAATCTTTTTCCTCACATTTAATGAGACGATGCCTGTGCTCTCACCCCCCTGCCTTCTCTTCTCTCTGCTTTCACACCCTTGTCACACACCTCTCTGGTTCCTTTCCTCCTACATTGTAATTACACCTTTCTCCTCGGCTTTGCTCGCTGGTGTCACCATGGCACCTCATTTCTCATGGATTGCATCATTTCTTATTCTGTTCTTCATCTCTTCCCTCAGATCGGTGGAATTCGGTTCCTCTACGACAACTTGGTGGAGTCAGTGGAGCGCTTTAGCAGCACTAATGGATTCGGCTGTATCCTGGCTCACAGCATGGGTCTGGGAAAAACACTGCAAGTCATCTCCTTCGTAGACATTCTGTTCAGACACACCAAGGCTCACACTGTGCTCGCTATCGTACCTGTAAGAACATTTTTCCTTTTTTTGTAAAATAACATATGAAGTGAAACATGTTGTGCACATTTAGTTCAGAAATTCATCTGTCTAGTAACTCTGAAATGAATGTCATACGAGTGTACATTAGTAAATCATCCTTTAACTACGGTAGATTTCTTTTAACTGTAACAAATGATTCAAATATTCAGCTTTTATAGTCCAAGGATCTCTGCCTGAACTCCTCTGTGTTTCTCAGGTGAACACACTGCAGAACTGGCTGTCAGAGTTCAACTCGTGGGTCCCGTCCCCTGAGGCCTTACCTCCAGACACTGACCAGGGTCTTCTGGCACCTCGCACCTTTAAAGTTCACATCCTCAACGATGAACACAAGTAAGAAAGGATTTTACACTTCCTCTGTGAAGCCTGGCGTTTTGATGTTTCTAATATTAATGACAGAAATGTAGCACTGCATCAGCTTTAATCTAGATAAACAGGGAGGTAGGTGAACATATCCCGGCTACAGTGACAATAACTGAAAGCAGTGAAGACAATTTCCTTTTCCATATCTTTAACAAAGATGCACTCGTGTTTCTCTTCACATCCATCCTCAGCTGCCTCTCCTCCCTCCTGTCTTTTCCTTGTGTCTCGACAGCTGCTTCTGCTGTAAAGATTTGCTGAGTCGTGCTTTTGTTTGCAAGACATATGTGTCTGAGACTAAGGATGTGGATGAACTCCAGTAATACTATACAATAACAGTTACTGGAATGACTTTTTATTTTCTTTCAGTTTAAAAGCTGTTCCGGAGAGATGTTTTTGGTTTTTTTTAAATCATGAAAAGCTCAGCCTTTGACCTTTAACGGTGTCAAATGTATTCCCTGTGATATGATATACTCAGTGATGACTCAGCCCCTAAATGTCAAGCTAGCAGAGGCTCACAGCTTTGTGGTTTCTGATGGGGCAAAAATAGCCTAATATTAGCAGTTAATGCAGCATGGAACGCTGTAGGATTTAAAAATAATCATTGGATTAAGAACAGAAATTATGTTGAAAAAGCCAAAAAAAAAACTTTAGGATTTTGCAAAAAAGGTAAAGGTTACTCAAGAACCTGAAGGCTAATTTCTAGCTAAAACAAATTGTTAGTATTAACCAACTGTAATTCACTTCATTAAATTTATAAATGTTTGTCAAGGTTTGCAGTTGATTAGTCTAATTCTTTCTCCTTCGGGACTTTTCATCCTTTTTGCTTTCACACACATTTGTGCTGCCTCTAATTCAGAGTTAATGAATTAAAAATAGATTCCAGTGAATCACTGAGTGAATTAAACAGCGGTATTATTCCTTGAAGCTGTGTGCCCCAGGCGCTTTGTAGTATGTAAAATATCTGCTGTTGAAACCTTTTTTAGGATCTTTGATCTTTTTGCCTTTGGCTCTGTAGCCTTGAGCAAAGTGTCTTCTCAGCACAAAGACAAACGTTCCTAGAGATGATAAAGGAAGCCAAAACAAAAGAAAAATATTCTTAGCTATTTATGTATATATTTACAAAGTAAGTGTGTATTTCATGACTTTTCCAGAAATACAGCTACCAGGGCCAAAGTAGTGGAAGACTGGTCGAAGCAGGGAGGGGTGCTGCTGATGGGCTATGAGATGTACCGCCTCCTGTCACTGAAGAAGAGTGTGGCAGCTGGGAGGAAGAAGAAAAGCAAGAAGACCTCAGGACCTATTGTTTTGGACATAGATGAAGAGGACAGGCAGCAGGAACTGCTGAAAGGTTTGAGAGAAGAGTGTGATGAGAATGAAGAAGAAATGGCACAAACTGACAAGAAACCAATCAGCATGTATTACCGGTGTCTTTGTTCAGGTCTAGAGAGAGCCTTGGCCCAACCTGGTCCAGATGTGGTGATCTGTGACGAAGGCCATCGAATCAAGAACTGCCATGCCAGCACATCCCAGGCACTGAAGAACATCCGTACCCGCCGCAGAGTGGTCCTCACTGGCTACCCACTGCAGAACAATCTGATTGAGTACTGGTGCATGGTTGACTTTGTCCGGCCGGACTTTCTCGGTAAGGAAAGAAAATCTGTATTGTATTTCATTTTCAGAGAATCTAACTGTTCACCATCAGAAGTTTAACTACAGGGTCTACATTCTTATTTCAGGTACACGGCAGGAGTTCAGTAACATGTTTGAACGTCCCATTCTGAATGGGCAGTGCGTGGACAGCACACCTCAGGACGTTCAGCTCATGAGGTACAGGAGTCACGTCCTGCACAGTCTGCTGGAGGGCTTCGTACAAAGGTGAGGCTGCTGTTTCTGTAAACTCCCAGAGAAAACCAAAAAACAGCCTCTGCAGACATTAACATCCACCTTGTCTTCATTCCAGACGAGGCCACGATGTCCTAAAGGAGCAGCTCCCCTCTAAGGAGGAGCACGTCATCCTGGTGCGTCTGTCTCCTCTACAGAGGGCGCTCTACACCGAGTTCATGAATCGCTTCAGAGAGGCAGGAAACACGGGCTGGCTCAGCCTCAACCCACTGAAGGCCTTCTGTGTCTGCTGCAAAGTAAGGGCTGATCTTATCAAGTTAAATGTTTGGGGTTTTTTTTGTTTTACGCCGCTATCTTCCATTAATCCCTCAGATTTGGAACCATCCGGACGTACTGTACGAGGCCTTACAGAAAGAAAACCTGGCGAGTGACCAGGACTTAGACCTGGATGACCTGAGCTCCACAGGACCTGCCAGATGTCAGACTACAGCCAATCAAAAGTCAAAGACCCTGGAGACTCCTGTCCCTGCAGGTGGACTGAGCCTCAACCAGCTTCAGGAGAAGGCAAACCAGGTCATCAGTTACGAATGGGTACGTAATTACTGACGCAGTATAAAGGGTTTATTTACTACTGCTAAAGTATCAGATTATATATGTGTTGATTTGTTGTTGTTGTTTTTGGAGAAATCCTGTGGGAATTCATTGGGAACATTTATATTTAACCCATGGTTTTCCCTACTAAACAGGCAAAGGACATAATGAGCGACTACAAACCTGGCATCCTGGAGAACTCTGCAAAGATGGTGATGCTGTTTCACCTGATAGAGGAGAGCGTCAGGAAGGGAGACAAATTGCTTGTCTTTAGGTAAAACATCTGTTAAATTAAAATGTTTATTGTGTTATCTATAAATGTGTCTCTCTTTATGTGCACTATTAGGGTTAACTTAATGGGTAATCTGTTTCAGTTGTACAGTGTCTTAATGTCGCCCAGGCCACCAGTTGATTAAATATACTCTCCTCCTTCTACAGTCAGAGTTTGTCTACACTGACAGTCATTGAGGATTTCTTGGCCAAGAGACGAGTACCTGTCTCACAGAACAATTCAGGCAGAGATCCATCCAATCAGCACTGGGTTCGCAACCTGAACTACTACAGTAAGGGCCTACTGATTATGTTGATTATCATTTGATGTGATACATACGGTGCTTGTGCGAAACAGCAGAAGTACAAGGTTCTGAAAATGTTTTTCATTAGTGTATAATATTTAGTCAGACATCCATGTTTCACCACACAGTGCATTTGACATTGCTTACTGATGATTTTGTGGTCACATCTGTTGGTTTTCTGCAGGATGTTTTTTTTCTCTCATTGACTTGCAGTGAGTGCTGCCACCTGCTGTTTTCTCTTAGCACATTTACCACATTATTTCGTTCTTTGTGCAGGGAGCTTTGTTACATTCTTTGCTTATTGTTTGTAATATTAACTCGGTCGGACATGCTTTTTTTAATTGATATGTTTCATGTATTTTTAAGGACTGGATGGCAGCACTACAGCCTCAGAAAGAGAGAGGCTTATTAACCAGTTCAACGACCCAAACAATACCTCAGCATGGGTGTTCCTGCTGTCCACCAGGTAACCTTTGAACTCTTATATAATTATTTTGAATATTCTTTGGCTTAAATATATACAGTATATGTACTGACACAAACAAACATGAACTTGGGGTCACACACCTATTTGATCTTCAGGGCCGGTTGTTTGGGTGTGAATCTGATCGGGGCTAATCGCGTGGTGGTGTTTGACGCCTCCTGGAACCCCTGCCATGATGCCCAGGCTGTGTGCCGTGTCTATCGCTACGGTCAGAGGAAGCCCTGTCACATATATCGACTGGTGTGTGATTTCACATTGGAGAAGAAGATCTACGATCGTCAGATCTCCAAACAGGGCATGTCAGGTGAGCTGGGAAGTTTAGTGTCATTGTCAGGGTACAATAAATGCATGCAGTAGTGCAATAATAAAATAATTTTACATATAAATCTCACTTTGTCCAGCTGACAACTTAACTACAGAAGAAACCAAAAATATAAACTGCCTTAAATCCAAATATTTAGCTCTGAGTAGAGACAATGGCTCTTTCACTAAGAGGCTCTTGTCTACCAGAGTAAACTGTCTCAAGTGTGTGCTGTGAACTGACACATAAACAGACACAGACGAAGCTGCTGAAGCCACAGGCAGCTGGAGAAATCTGTCTTTTGAATTTGTCTTTTTTTTACTCTCCATGCTGGCCATACAAAACGTTTTCTTCCTTCTCCTATCAGACCGTGTTGTGGACGACCTGAACCCCGTCCTGACTTTCACAAAGAGGGAGGTGGAGTCTCTCCTCCACTTTGTGGAAGAGGAGCCAGACCCCTCCCGTGTCCTGCTGCAGCCCCATGACAATATGGAGAGTGTCCTCAAAAAAGCCCTGCACATCCATCGGCACCTCATTACCAAGGTAGAAGAACTTGTCTGTGTGGTTGTGTTGGCAGTAAGGTGGTAACTTCTGTCACCATGTGATATATTGTATTTTGATTAGTTTATCATCTGCTGAGACAGGCCTTGTCCAATTAAACATGAATAAAACCTCATCAGGGCATCGTCCTAGTCAGACTCTCAGTGTAGGGTCAGATGCAGACTGTGTGGGACCTGAGTTCTTAGTAAAGGCCAAGAATATAGAACCAGGTAAAAAGAACAGGGAATAGCAAGTCAATAAAAACATTGTTGTTTTTATAAACTTTGCTCCCCTCATAGTGACTCACCTGTTGTTTCTGTTTCCCTATAATAACACTATAGCACTATAGTAAAAGTTAATATTAAGCCTTCAAAAACAGGTTTAATATTAACTTTTACTATAGTATTAAATTTTTAAAATTAATTTTGCTGTATAAAATAGTGTTTTTTATTTTAGTCTGCAGGAGTTCTGTTGCTGTAAACCAGTAAACATTTGAATATTAACTTTGAAACATATTTTTCATAGAACATTTAAAGGGTCATTTGGCATTTGTATCCGTTTGAAAACACTTACCTTTATTTCTTCTAGCAACCATTTCCACACGAATCACTGTTGATGGACCGGAAGGAGCTGAAGCTGAGCAGTGCTGAGAAGTCAGCTGCCAAGAAGGGCTACGAGGAGGAGAAGAAAGCCTCGGTGCCGTACACCCGCCCCTCCTACGCTCACTACTACCCTGCCAGTGATCAGAGCCTGACCAACATCCCTGCCTTTAGTCAGAGAAACTGGTCAGTCACTCACAGCTACAGAGAGCACATATTTACATTAACAAATACTTGGATCATTTTTTACTAACAAGGAAAAAAATTTAACTTCATACTTAGGCGTCCGCCGAGACAAACTGAGGAAAAGGCTACAGCTGTTGTCCGACCAGCTCAGACAACTCCAGTTCCCATGATGCCCCGCCAGGCAACGCCAGGCTCCACCACAGTCAGTGATTCATCCCAGTCCAGCCCAGGGGGGTTCCCAGTCAACTGTCTGCAGAAAGCTGGAGTGATTGTCCAGAAGGTTGTCACCACTACTGGTAGGTTGACTGCAGTGAATATTCCCTGTCGTCCTGTGCCTTGGTCAGATACTCTAAGAATTAGTCCATGTTTATATATTTAGTCCTCCGACTCATGAAGTCTCTGTCTGGTGTAGACATAGTGATTCCAGGCACCAACACGTCCTCAGATGCCCAGACCAGGATCACAGCTGGAGAGAGCATCCACATTATTAAAGGCACAAAAGGTAACAGATCAATGCACTGCATTAGGCACAAAAGGTAACAGATCAATGCACTGCATTAGGCAATGTTTTACTACGACTAGTTTTACTATTTCATTTTTCATTTTTTTTAAATCTCAACTTTATTTGTGTTAGGAACTTATATCAGGACATCGGATGGTCGAATTTTTGCCATCAGAGCAGCCAATAAAGCGAAGACTGCAGAGGAACACACCACAGCACCACCTAAAGGTTGGATTCCTAATTCCTAAACAAAGCTCCACTAAATATACCCAGATAAGCATGGTTTTGATCATGTCAACATGTCAACTTCTCACCAAACATTCAGTTCTGTAGGGTGAGACAGTCACTGAAATGAGTGTGTCGCTGATTGACATTTAAGTTGTGCCTCATCTACACCCACATTCAAATGTTGAGCAGGATCTCAAGACAAATTTCAAATTTATGAAATTAAAATATTTTTATATAATCAGGCAAACAATAAAATGACCTACTCTCCTGGCTAATCTCTTACTTGGTACTTATTACAAAATTCTAAGAAATACAAAGGTTTGCCTTGATAATTAGTTAATTAGTTAATGGTTAATTAGATTAAAACACTATAGCAGAATGACTCACACTGTATATATCTAATTATACTTTCTATTTTATCTATTACTTATCAATACTGTAATACAGCACAGTTGATGCATAATGACATAATATTCAAAATGAATTGTAGACTGACTAATATTGTTGACAGCTTCACCGAGGCTGAAACACATTCGATGAGCCACCGTCAACATGCACAGTGATGACTTAAATCCACCAACACTGTAACAATTTGTGAAACGTGCATTTGTTTTTATTTTTGAATATTTATAATATCTTCATTTGGATTAGTTAATTATTATCTTGTTAACAAACCTAATTCCATATTGTTTCCATTTAGAATCACAAGTTCCAGCGGGTGAAGTCTCAACAAATGGTAGTAACTATTGCCTGTCACCTGATAAAAGGCAACATGCAACATCCAATCCTGTGCCCCGTCCTCTGTCACCTGACAGCCCAGAGATCATCAGTGAGCTGCAGTGTTACACAGGTGGACCACCAGCTGGGGTCACCTCAGTGTCTGGAGGTCAACCAGAGAACGACATCCACAGTCTGCATTCCTCCAAACCGCTTCAAACCAACGGCAGCAGTAAATGCAGTTCACTCACTGGAACTCTGGACCACCACGTTGCCTCTGACACCAATCAAACTCAAGACGCGAGGACAGGCCCTAAGCGTAAAGCCTCCTCTCCGTCTGTGGATGAAAAGCCCAGCAAACTGCCCTCTGCTGGCAAGCACTCCTCAGCCCCTGTGGCCGCACAGGGCTTCCCCTTCAGTGGGGGTTATAGCCTCCCTTCATTGGGCCTGAA